TGTGGCTTACATCAATGATATTGTGGTGTACAGCAAGTCCCTATAGGAGTATTTTGAGCACTTGCAGAAAGTCTTCCAAGTTCTGAGGGAGAACGAGTTATATGTGAAGAGGGAGAAGTGCTCATTTGTCCAAGAAGAGGTAGAGTTCCTTGGTCACAAAAACGGGGAGGACAATTGCTCATGGAGGAGGGCAAGGTGCGAGCCATTCAAGAGTGGGAACCACCAACCAAGGTACCTGAGTTACGGTCTTTCCTTGGGTTGGTCAACTACTATTGCAGGTTCATCAAGGGATATTCAGCCATTGCCGCCCCCTTGACGGATTTGCTTAAGAAGAACAAGGCGTGGGAGTGGACAACCAGATGCCAGCATGCCTTCGATGAGTTGAAGAGGGCACTTATGGAGGAACCCGTGCTGAGACTTCCTGATCTTAGCAAACCGTTTGAGGTACACACTGATGCATCAGATTTTGCTATTGGTGGTGTACTTATGCAGGATGGACACCCATTGGCTTTCGAGAGTCGGGAGCTCAATGACAGGGAGCGGAGGTATACCGTTCAAGAGAAGGAGATGACAGCCGTAGTGCATTGCTTGCGGACTTGGAGGCACTACTTGTTGGGTTCTCAGTTCGTGGTCAAGACTGATAACGTTGCCACAAGCTACTTTCAGTCTCAATCGAAGTTGTCACCCAAGCAGGCTAGGTGGCAAGACTTCTTGGCGGAGTTCGACTACAAACTGGAGTACAAGCAAGGGAAGACGAATGTCGTTGCCGATGCCCTAAGCAGGAAGGCCGCACTTGCAGCTGTTGTACAACCACAGAGTTCTCTCATGCAGAGGATACGAGAAGGCTTGTTGCATGATCCCCAAGCCAAAAGTCTGTTGGAGCTTGTCAAAGATGGGAAGACAATGAGATTTTGGCTCGACGATGGCGTTCTTTATGCAACACGGAAGAGGATCTATGTTCCAAGGTGGGACAATCTGAGGCGAGAGCTACTGAAGGAGTGTCATGACTCGAAGTGGGCGGGACATCTAGGCACTCATCGGACGTTAGCCTTGATGAGTGAAGCTTACTATTGGCCACAGATGCGGGAGGATGTAGACTCGTTCGTGCGGACTTGCCTTGTATGCCAACAAGACAAGACATTGCAGAAGCAGCCAGGTGGGTTGCTAGAGCCACTTCCTGTTCCAGCCAGACCATGGGAGAGTTTGTCCATGGACTTCATTGTGAGTCTACCCAAGTCAGAAGGGTGTGGCTCAATTTTGGTGGTGGTCGACAGGTTCACCAAGTATGCTACCTTCATCCCTGCACCAGCGGACTGCAATGCGGAGGAAGCGGCATGCTTGTTTCTAAAGCATGTGGTGAAGTATTGGGGAATTCCCAAGAGTATTATCAGTGACCGCGACACTCGCTTTACTGGTAAACTTTGGACGGAGCTCTTCAGGCTACTTGGCTCACAGTTGAACTTCTCTACCAGCTTTCACCCACAGACAGATGGTCAGACGGAACGGGTGAACGCATTGTTGGAGCTATACTTGAGGCACTATGTGAGTGCCAACCAGCGAGATTGGGCAAAGTTGTTGGATGTTGCTCAATTCTCATACAACTTGCAGCGGTCGGAGTCAACAGGGTCAAGTCCTTTCGAGTTGGCAACAGGACAACAACCTATGACACCGAACACAGTGGTGTCAGGCTACACGGGGAGTAGCCCAGCTGCATACAAGACAGCCAATGAGTGGCAGGAGACTAATGAGCTGGCTCGAGCTCAATTGGAGAAGGCAACTCGGAAGATGAAGAAATGAGCGGACAAGCATAGGCGAGATGTTGTGTTCCAACCAGGTGATATGGTCTTTGTGAAGCTCAACCCTTCTCAACACAAGTCCACTAGAAAGTTACACAAGGCGTTGTTGAGGAGATATGAGGGCCCATTTCCTATCATCCGATCAGTGGGAAGATCTGCTTACCGTGTGGAACTACCACCCCGATTAAAGATTCATCCGGTGTTCCATGTGAGCAATCTCAAGCCCTACCACGCCGACCCTGAGGAGCCAAGTCATGGAGAATCTCAACGAGCTCCACCTTTGATGGTGACTTCATTTGACAAGGAGGTTGAGTGCATCATGGCCAAGCGAGAGGTGCGACGCAAGGGTGTACCGAGGTACTTTGAGTACTTTGTCAAATGGAAGGGCCTGCCAGAGTCCGAAGGCAACTGGGAGAAAGAAGAATCTTTGTGGAAGTACAAAGACATCATCGAAGCATTCGAACGAGAAGGATCTACCACGGCGACGAGGACGTCACTGGATTAGGTGGGGGAGAATGTCACGGCCCGCATGTTCAAGGCCCAACCCGTTGGATTGATCATGCTAGACCTCTTAGCCCACATGTCCAGATTCGTTTTATAGTAGTTGGTAAACTACAGTTGGTGACAGTAGTTGGTAGATGTTGGTAGGTGACATTGTATCTTAGCCACCTATTGTGGTGGTAGGTGGGATAAGGATAGTATATAAGGGGGATGACACATTGTGTATCCTCACCTCACAACTTGTAAAGCATTTGAGTAGCAATACAAGCATATATTCTCCCAAACTCTGTTAAGCATTCTTACTGTTCTTGCTCTTGCAATTGTTCTTTGCTTGGTTCGATCTTGTGTTGTAGGAAGGAGGCTGACTTAGCTTGTTCGAGAGGCGATCAAGTCTAAGGCCGCACGGAAGGAAGACTCCGAAAAAGTCATCCCGTGACAATAGGCTAATCAGCCTTCAGGGGTGCACTCAATAACTGGATTTTCTTACTTGAAAAGATCTAACGATAATTGAATAGAAATAGAGCAAAGGAAACATGAGTACCTGAAGGCTGCATAACAGTTTAATAGAATTTAGTCAATAAAATAAAACATCTTCCCTTTTTCTTTGATACGAATCATTTTCCCAATTAATTTCACCTTAATCGTTTGTGGGATAGGAAACTTAACAATTCTACAAATGAAAGTTCAACAATACACACTGAGGGTTCACCCAACATTACAATTGCAAAAAAACAACATAATCTTTAAAACACTACAATCGTGCCCAAGAAGCAAATCGTTATTAGAGTTCAGATAGGGTTTTGACGTACCAGAATGAGATCAAATAGGGTTGAGTGGTCATTGTGCTTGGCGCCGATCTTGAACTCAGCAAGATAGCGATCGTAATGCTCTTCATCTTGAGCCAGAAGACCTTGGAGTTGCCGGCGAAGGTCGAAGGGATGAGCAGCTTGAGAATTCCATCGCAGGTGAAGGCTGTGGTTGTCGTTGCTGCAGAGAGAGAGTGTGAGAGAGAGATCTAATCTGATAAAAAAAGAAACCAACGAATCTTGTAAACAAAAAGGGTATAATTGTATTTTCAATGATTAATATAAGGTGGGCCAACGAATCTGTGCCTCCTCTTTGGCCAAATCCAAAACAAAATTTCATTCCTAGGTATTAAAACCCAAACAGAAATATTGTTTATCTCAACTACTAATTAGTAAAGATAGTTATGTCTAATACCTAATTTTTCTATTCGACTTTGGGTAGTCGCGCGTGTTTTGTATGAGATTTTGAAACTGGAATTTTAAATTGCAAGCTTTGTTTATTAGTTGTTCTTCATTTTAACATTTGAAGAACATGAATTTCTTCTTGCCATAAAGTTCATTCCTCTTCCTGCGCCCTTCCCATTACGACAACTAAAATTGAGTCATTCGATTCTCTTTCTTTTTTTTGGGCGAAAATAAAATTATTTTGATGCAACAATGTTGGAGGAGGAATTCAACAAAAGACCATCTATAGTTCAATATTGAGCTATACAAGTTCTTTGTTATTAACTGAAACTAAAAGCCTTATTCGATGTATGAATTACCAGGAGAAGAATTTCAGTAACATAAGCTCCAGGTGATCGCAGCACTGGGTCTAGATTTTCTCCACTCTGTTTTCGAACTTAGTTCTTCTACGATCTTCCTCAGGATCCACAAGCTGGAAGAATTCCATTTACATCCCCGAACAGATCTTTGTCAACATCCTAGTAAGACTACTACTATATTCCCTTCTTTGGGTCGTGTTTTTGCAAGTTATGGAGTCATTTGACCCTCTCCCCCACCATGAGCTGAAGGTGGGAGAGAGGTTCATTTGACCCTCTCTCCCTACTGGTAGTTCCATTTACAAGATGGCATAGATCACCGTCGAGTGTGTCCCCACCCTAATAGGGGGAGATTTTTGGGGAAAATCAAAGGTGGGTACGAGAATACCCAAATTTTATAAATCCCCAGTCGGGACGGGGAAATATCAAAGTGACTTTTGAATCAGGAAAAGGCGAGGGCAGTCATGCTGATAAGAAGGGTTTGAACATTGGGGAAGTTTCATAGTGACTAGGCCACAATTTTGAGTAGTTAGAGTTCGATTGTTGTAGCACGAAGGCTGGATTTCATTTATGTTTCTCTTGTGGCAGTCATGGCGATATGCAGCTGTTAAATGAGAACAATTTTGAGGGCAGTTATGATGATGAGTTTGAGCATGAAAATAATGTAAAACGTTGAAGCCAGATAGGGCGATGATGATGACACAACACTGGCGAATTATGAATCAATTAGTCAACCTTCCTTTCTTGACTCGGATTACTTTTTTCATGATTCAGTTGTATCATGTTACCATCTAAAGGTCAAGCAATTAAATCTTTTGGTTTTCGACAATTTTGCTGAATTGGGATAGAGAGGAGAATTAAGGTTTCAAAGGGAATGCAGAGAGCTGGGTAGGTCGTTTTAGAGGACCATTTCAAAAATTACTTTCGTTTGGTTTTCTTGCCAAAACTAAAAAATAAAACTGAGAAAACTGCACCCAACCGGACTGGACAATAAGGTTCAGCTCGGTTTTCTGGTTTTGCAGTTCAAATTGTCCAACCCTACCTTCAAATAGACTGCCTTCACATAGCGCGCCGCAAGGTTGGTTCAAGAATAGATCCAAACAAAAACATTATTAAATTCGATACTACAGTATGACAAACGAGCATATTTGCATTCACAACAGACAACTATAATATATGATAATCAAACAATAGGTAACAAAAGCAGGTCATAGAACCCCGAATTCGTAAGGACATCGATATTATATACAGTGAATAATAATCACATGTTTCCACCAAAACACAAGAATACCAAGAGGCAAACCTACTTTTTCCCCTAACAAATCTGTCTTCATTTTTTTTCCTTTGATTTTACACCTTATCATTTTCATACCAAGAGAGCCACTTCCATTATACTCTTGTTCTCAACTTGCCTGGAGTTAATTTTAACTACAAGGGCAGAGATCAGGAAGCAAAGAATATTCACCGTCGCTGGTGGTGGCACATGTGACATGTGGTAGACTGCTTCGAATTTGCATACGTACAGTACTCACAGGTCCACATACCTGCGCTGTCTATATTTTTGCTGGAGCCACCGGCTCGACCCTTTCCCTTTCCACCTTTCGCTTTGCTGCTTCCTCCATTTTTTGAGCTTGACCCACTGCAAGCTGCTTGAGAGTCCACATCTGATAGGCCATTCTCTAATGCACTTACCAGGTTCTCAAAGTAATTTTTAGTCACCCTGTCACAGTAGAGCAAATGGATGAGAAGATTCAATAAGGCAATGCATTGAACTCAACTGACTCGAAGGCCCAGACTGGTAATTGCACATCACAAGAAAAGGGTATATGGATGAGTGTGCCTGTGAAACATTCCTAGTATAACTTAATCACACATTGCTAGAATGTCAATGATGCAACACAATTACAGATCTATTCTAGAAAACTAAAAATCCCACAAATTAATACTTGATAAATAACCTGATTTACTATTTTGTCATCAGTCAGTAAAATACGTTCTTCCATGCTTACTCCTGTCCTTTTCTCATCCCCCAATTGGAGACTTGTTTTATTCGCAGTTCCTATACTAACGAACCATTCACTCTATTTTCCTTCACTGCATTTTCTTTACTTATCATTTTGCATTCAGTGGTAAAAGCAAACTTGGAAGTGATCAAGGAAACACACACACACATATACACAAACATCACAGGAAATATCAAGTGTGGACTATGAGGCCTTTGTACTGCCTGGGGTCTGGCAGTGTCTGTGAGAGTCAACAAGCAGTGCAATACAGACACAGAGCCACACTGCAAAAGTTCATAGCATATGTTTGTACATATATATGTACATGTATGTGTGTGTGTGTGTGTGTGTGTGTGTGTGTATATAATGGTTAACCACACGTGTGGTTAACTGTATCAGAGAGTTGCTCTATATTTATAAAGTGTCTACCCGGTCAGTCCAGCTAGCTTTGTGTGGAAATCAATAAATTCTTTCGATGGGCCATCTGCACTAAGGAATTGCTGTAGCTCCTTCTCTGCACACTGATGAAGCCTTTCCAAACCAGATTCTGCCTCACCTGAATAAAAAAGCAGAATTGCATATTTCATAAAACACAAAAGACAATTCCTAACTAGTTGCCACTAATATACACACACAGTTTATACCTTGCAAGTACTCAAAAAATTGCCTCTTTGCATGCTCCTGCTCAGGCAGGTAATACCCATAAGCATAAGTCCATTTCAGCACTCTCCTACACTCAACAATCTACGAACACGGAAGACAGGCAAAACATAATTTGTCAGCATGTCATAGCAAAACAATAATTTCACGTTCACTAGAATAAGTCCTTCCATATCTTTCAAAGAAAATAAATCTTTATATATCTCATAAATATGATAGTAGTTCACCTGCTGCCAGGCATCAGTTATGAACTTGAGCTGAGACTCAGGTTCGCGCTGTATGTCACTAAGCTTCTCCATCTGAGAAAAAAATAGCCAGTATATCAATAAAGTAAATACAGAGCACTTCATACAATTCCATGATAGCTAGGAAAGTAAGACAGGTACGATGAAAACAGACAATCCTACCAAACATCTTGTAGCAATCACACTATTTTTATTTCAATAACACAAAATATTTTCTTTTCTTTTTTTGTAACTGAAGAAACACAAGAAGTAAAAGTTTCTTGGACAAGAAGTCCATAAAATAATCCACCCAAAACTTCCCCAAATCAAGATAAAGAACAACAAAAAGGGTTTAGGAATCCTAGTCAGATGAGGCTTGTAAGCCACTGCCTATTCTCTATTGATAGGCTAATTGGGAGCTCTTAAAAAATAAATAAACAAAAAGAAACGCACGAGTAGAGAGCCAAACGAGTGATAAGAGAACTAGGGCGTGTGGATTAGCATAGGGATTTATAAAATGATGCCTTTGCTAACTTCTTATAATGACTAGTAACAGTATGCTTGTTGGTATACAAAATTTTTTTGTGAGGCCAATTTTTTAATTGACTCCGTCAAAGCTATCAGTTCACATGAAGGGGTTACTGTACAACCACTACTACACCTCTATATTCTGAAATCTAAAGGTCTAAAGTGATAACACAAAAAACTTCATGTTCATGTTGTTAACGCTAAACTAAAGTTAATTTGTAGCATTGCATCTATGTATAAAATTCAAAATCTGCAAAAGTTCTAAATATGGTTTTAGTTCTACAATACGGTAGAAAGATGAGTACTAAGATCATATATGTTTTGAACACAATTGTTATCAGCAATTCCATTGAAGAATGAACATAGCAAACACATGAACCCCTGTCTCTATGTATAAAGAATATGTATGTACGTAAGCATGTACGAATTTCTGCAAGGACAGATACTTACATGCACAGTACGCATTTGATGCAAATCTGCAAGAGCTTTTTGCCTCGACTGCCAAGGAAGTACAAAAAGATTTTAGTGAATAATTAAAGAAGAATAATATAGCTCTACCAAAAGCAACATTAAGGCTTAGACAATTAAATCCAAGAAACAGAAGACCAATGCACAGAAAAATCTTGACTACAAATCCAGGAGGTTTCCAGCCTTTATTTCGATGCAAACCATGCAAAAAGTCATGCACAGGTGTTGTCCACCTGCCTAACATATTCTATGAAAATCGTAATAAAACACAGCGAGTATTGAAAGAAATTGTCAAGAACTAAGCTTTCAGAACATTAGGCTCTTCATTGGCCATTACCCAGCCAGATACATGCCAGGGAACTATAACAGTATGAAAAGAAACGCATGAATTCAAAGCATAGCAGAACAAACACAGCAGAAAATTTGAAAAGAGAATTCTGAATACCAATTGATTGCTAGCCCAACGTTCATAATAATGAGTGTATCTCTCCAGAGAATTCTTTGCCATTTCTCTTCTTCTCTCAGTTTCATCATACTACAAACAACAATACAAACTCTTATGAACAGAAGAAAAAGAAAACTAGTCTTCCAAAAGGCAAATAAGAAGAACAAATTCTCAGAACCAGCAAAAAGAAACTGTAAAATCCTTACAACTCCCTCTTGCTTAGCTGCTTCATAGCGGTTACAAGCATAGAAACCACCTGTCCTCTCACCATGATCTGACCATGCACCAAGGCACAGCCTACATGATACATATAATTCATTTAGAACCAGATAACAAAACTTAACAGTATAAGAACATAAGCAAAAGAAAAGTTCCCTCCAACAATATTTCTATTCTCAATCTGAATGATACAATGCTATTCTTCATTAATCAGATATGTTTTCAAACAACCATCACTTTCCATGAAAGGAAATAAAAAAAATGGAAGCAGGAAGCATACCAGCAAAATTCAAATTTGCAAGGTGGTGTGCACGTCATGTGCATGCACCCTTGGTTTTTTTCAATAGGTCGCTTACACTTTGGACATGGCTTGGAATTCGCTAGTATCCTGAGTGCCATCAACAAAAGTTACGACAGAACAACAGATTTATGAAGTAACAAGAATCCACTCAATTCTCATAAATATGTTAAGAAACGGTTGTCCTTAAGAGTGTATCACAAATTACTGGACACCAATCATGCTTGCACTTTGCACAACTTGATTCAACATTATTCATGAATATACATTCAGTCCATAAAATAATCCACCCAAAACTTCCCCAAATCAAGATAAAGAACAACAAAAAGGGTTTAGGAATCCTAGTCAGATGAGGCTTGTAAGCCACTGCCTATTCTCTATTGATAGGCTAATTGGGAGCTCTTAAAAAATAAATAAACAAAAAGAAACGCACGAGTAGAGAGCCAAACGAGTGATAAGAGAACTAGGGCGTGTGGATTAGCATAGGGATTTATAAAATGATGCCTTTGCTAACTTCTTATAATGACTAGTAACAGTATGCTTGTTGGTATACAAAATTTTTTTGTGAGGCCAATTTTTTAATTGACTCCGTCAAAGCTATCAGTTCACATGAAGGGGTTACTGTACAACCACTACTACACCTCTATATTCTGAAATCTAAAGGTCTAAAGTGATAACACAAAAAACTTCATGTTCATGTTGTTAACGCTAAACTAAAGTTAATTTGTAGCATTGCATCTATGTATAAAATTCAAAATCTGCAAAAGTTCTAAATATGGTTTTAGTTCTACAATACGGTAGAAAGATGAGTACTAAGATCATATATGTTTTGAACACAATTGTTATCAGCAATTCCATTGAAGAATGAACATAGCAAACACATGAACCCCTGTCTCTATGTATAAAGAATATGTATGTACGTAAGCATGTACGAATTTCTGCAAGGACAGATACTTACATGCACAGTACGCATTTGATGCAAATCTGCAAGAGCTTTTTGCCTCGACTGCCAAGGAAGTACAAAAAGATTTTAGTGAATAATTAAAGAAGAATAATATAGCTCTACCAAAAGCAACATTAAGGCTTAGACAATTAAATCCAAGAAACAGAAGACCAATGCACAGAAAAATCTTGACTACAAATCCAGGAGGTTTCCAGCCTTTATTTCGATGCAAACCATGCAAAAAGTCATGCACAGGTGTTGTCCACCTGCCTAACATATTCTATGAAAATCGTAATAAAACACAGCGAGTATTGAAAGAAATTGTCAAGAACTAAGCTTTCAGAACATTAGGCTCTTCATTGGCCATTACCCAGCCAGATACATGCCAGGGAACTATAACAGTATGAAAAGAAACGCATGAATTCAAAGCATAGCAGAACAAACACAGCAGAAAATTTGAAAAGAGAATTCTGAATACCAATTGATTGCTAGCCCAACGTTCATAATAATGAGTGTATCTCTCCAGAGAATTCTTTGCCATTTCTCTTCTTCTCTCAGTTTCATCATACTACAAACAACAATACAAACTCTTATGAACAGAAGAAAAAGAAAACTAGTCTTCCAAAAGGCAAATAAGAAGAACAAATTCTCAGAACCAGCAAAAAGAAACTGTAAAATCCTTACAACTCCCTCTTGCTTAGCTGCTTCATAGCGGTTACAAGCATAGAAACCACCTGTCCTCTCACCATGATCTGACCATGCACCAAGGCACAGCCTACATGATACATATAATTCATTTAGAACCAGATAACAAAACTTAACAGTATAAGAACATAAGCAAAAGAAAAGTTCCCTCCAACAATATTTCTATTCTCAATCTGAATGATACAATGCTATTCTTCATTAATCAGATATGTTTTCAAACAACCATCACTTTCCATGAAAGGAAATAAAAAAAATGGAAGCAGGAAGCATACCAGCAAAATTCAAATTTGCAAGGTGGTGTGCACGTCATGTGCATGCACCCTTGGTTTTTTTCAATAGGTCGCTTACACTTTGGACATGGCTTGGAATTCGCTAGTATCCTGAGTGCCATCAACAAAAGTTACGACAGAACAACAGATTTATGAAGTAACAAGAATCCACTCAATTCTCATAAATATGTTAAGAAACGGTTGTCCTTAAGAGTGTATCACAAATTACTGGACACCAATCATGCTTGCACTTTGCACAACTTGATTCAACATTATTCATGAATATACATTCATACTTTTTCATATACCCTATGAATGCAATTTTTTTTTTTTTTAAAAGCCACCAAGAAAAAGATTACTGGACACTGATCATGCTTGCACTTTGCACCACTTAATTCAACATTATTAATGAATATACATTCGTACTTTTTCATATACCCTATTAATGCAATTCAAAAAAAACAAAAATAAAAATCCACCAAGAAAAAGATTACTAATACTAATAAATAAAAATAACAATAAAAATAAATCTGTTACCTTGAAAAAAAATAATAATAATATTAATATGAATAATAGCTAAAGAATGAGTACTCTAATTTCAAATCCTATTAACAAGCTAGTTTACTTTAATCTGCCGCAACCTGCCATAATCAAATAGTCAAATACTTCTCAGTGGCCTTTACATGCATATCCAATATTTCAAAAAAGAATCCAAATCTTCAAAACAAAATTTCAATGTCCACCTTAAAAAATGACGGAATCAGTCCACTGACTGTAACAGTGTTCAAAGACTCGACAAAAATAAATTATGTTCAAATGGGCCCCAATTCTCAACATGCAAACACTGCATGGATTGGTTTTACAAAGTTGTTTCCTGTGCCACTAGTCAAAGACCATGCAGGAAGACTTAATGATAGATATGACAAAACCCGTAGGAACAAACTACAAGAGAAAAACTTTGATAGGTCTTCAGATGCTAGACACATTAACCTATGTAAACACATGTACCCCACACCATGTGATAAAGCCTATTTTTTATCAAAGAAAAATTAGTCTGAAGAAGTGAAATAAAGAAACCACTACAGTAGCTAATAAGGTTCATGCAAACATCCTTTTCCTCATGAGACAGAAACTTTTCCAAATGCAACAAAAGGTAGGGTTTTCCACCATACTGCATTCCCAAAAATTTCAGGCCGCACATGGTTTACTTCCTTAACTTTACCCCAGGAATAATGAAAGAGTTCACTTGAAAAAGGTATATAGAAGATAATCACATCAAATCTCATTGCAGGTCAAAAGCAGTTGCAGTGATCAACACAGTACACCAAAATAAATAAAAATATAAGGATGTAGTTGATGAAGACAAAGGTTAGAGAGACTTCATGGAGAAAAACAACAGTACACCCCAATTGATAGGCACACAATAAAGCAGTACGCTAGTCAGTTACCAACTATAAATTGCTTAAAAAGAATGCAGCATAAAACATACGATGCAAACAATCAGAAAGCCAATAAAGTTCGTTTCTTCTCAAAAAAAAAAAAAAAGAGAAATCCACGATGTGAACCCACAAGGTAGAATTTCAGATGCCAAAAGAAAATACAAACCAGTTCATGTTTTCAGACTCAGCACTGTTCTTCATAATCCATTTTGACACAGTGCTACAGTCCACAGGACGATGAGCTTCCTCCGTACACTGCAGACCCAAAACAAACCGTGACTCATCTGGAATATACAAGTTTTCGCTAAGGCATCAATCAAATACTAAAAATTACAATAAATAACTTACATTCCAGCAAAAGCCGTAGGAGCAGAGGCAAGAAACATCATAATTTTCATCATCACCAACAAAATTAACAGCATATTCACAACCCGGAGCAGGACACCACTTGGTCTAGCAACAAGAAGAAGAATTAAAAGAAAAGGTGAGAACAATGGTAAATATCAAAGGAAAACATGATATTCATATAGTCCTTCACTCCACCACACATGAATAATGGACTGGACACACCATCGTACCATAAAAATGCAAGTGTAATAGACAGAACATGCCACACAGCCAAACACACACAAGGAGTAATTGAAAGGAAAGAAAACATTAACTCATTTCTCCAATTGAGTATAAGAATTGAAATCATCAATCTTCACACATACTGAGAACCACACAGAGGTATCAACATTTTTAATATGACTCTTTTATCATGATAACATAGTATTCCAAGCCAAAAGACAGTAATAATTAGAGATGAACACTTCAAAAAGTTGATCTATTAAGATGTTCTTGATGATACTATTATGAAAAATATAACCTTGCAAGGACGTTTATGAATGTTTATATTGTCAACAATCAAAATTATTTCAAATCTTGCATAGAAGAAGACAGTTTCAGATTTATTGTACAACTTTAGGTTTTCATTTATCTGTTCATCTCTATATACACACAACCTTTATAAAAAATAAAAAAAAATAAAAAAAAATAAAACTGCTTTTGAAACTTTTATAAACTTAAAACTACAGCTAAAGAAGTGAAAGAAACACAGGCAAGACAATACAAAAACTCCACATCACTCCTCTAGACTTATGAAATTTCAAAGAATATACAAAAGTACTCCAACTTTTGGTCGTCTAATACTAGTAATATGAAGTCCACAGAATTAAAGGCTGATTAATGCTCCATATATCATAATCAATTGCAACATATACCTTCTTGTTGTCTTCTATATAAGACCGAAGAAGGTACTGAGAGTACTTCCGGTTATCTTCATCAGAGACCAACATAGTGATCATGTCTTGACCGACAGCAGCACCACAAGATGGATCAGGACATCTCAGTATTAAACATCCAGGACCATCGCTAATGGATGTTCTAATGTAGCCTATGACAAGAAGAACAAAACAATCATATCCTGAAAACCATAAAGCATGGCAATGGAAAGAAAGAAAAATAATCATAACAAGAAACACATTAGCATGGGATTAAAAATACTATGGTTGTTCAGAAAATGGTGGAAAGAATGGCAAAAAAGTAGTTGTAAGAAATAATTTTTTTATACAAAATAATCGGTGTTACTTTTTGTGGAGGGGGAGGGGGGTTAAGGGAAATTTTCTAAAACTAAACAACTAAAGACAGCTTAAAACGTGAAGGAGACTTGCAATTCCAAGGTCACATTCTACATATTCAGAGCTTAAGATGCAAGTTTCTTGTATCTCAGTCAGAAACTAGGTTTTTAAAATAATAGCATATGTAACAAACCTTCCCAGCATGCACAACAGAAAGGATGACCACAAGCAGCTGATCTGATGCTACCGCGGTGAAAGGCTTCAAAACAGATCCCACAGGTAAGCTGCACAACAAGAATTTTAGTTATTATGATGGTGTACAAAGACACGAACAGATCAAAAACAAAACAGTTACTAGAAAGAAAAAAAAAAACTCTAATTTCCAAATGCTTATATTACAGCTTACTTCTCTTGAGCTGGGGAGCTGAATCACTGGCTTTTTTAACAAGCCAAAAGTTTTTCGCACTTTATCTTCATCAGCAAACCATGCTTCATGCACTTCACTAACACTCCTGCCATACCAAACCTTTTTCAGATAAATAACTTACAAAAGAGGGGGAGAAGGTGACATCAATGGTACTATCAATTTCAGAAACTCTTATTTTCTTTTCAACCAAAGAGTGATGATGTGCTATATAGAATGGGACGAAGTTTTACCCTCCCTCTTTTGGAGAGAGGGTACCAATTGGCTAGGATCACCTGTAATAGTTCACATGTTAGCGTATTCACTCCGAACACAACATAAAGTTCTAAAGAACTGTTCAATTAAAAATCACAACTCTACATATCATGAGAAACTAAGCATATAAAAAGAGATAAATGAGCAAACAAATGTAATACCAATTATAGTAACGAAGTAAAATGCTTGAAGCAGCTCTTGATATGGAAAGCACAGTAGATACACTTGTAATATCTTCTTCCTGACGCTGCTTTATATCTGATTCCTTCAAGATGATAAAATTATTCTGTAGAAGAAAAAAAAGGACAAACATTTCACTTAGATGAAATCAATAAGAGCACTATAAATAAGCAACAGAACCACAGCTCCACCACAACTTGATTTCAAGTTTACATGATATGCACATAAAAGCTCCTCAAATTGAATGGACAAATCTCTTCCAACTACAAGATTTTATATTCAATTTCATATTGCATACATACACACCTGAAAAAGTGGTCCCGTGGAAACAATGAAGTAAGAATTCAGTTCATCAAGAATGCCTCTTGTTCCAGAGACAAAAGACTTCAGCATGAGGCGGACAAAGTGGATTCAAGAATGCTTAAAATTTGTAAATCTCCCAGTAATTATCTTAAGACAAGGCAACCACTTTTTGTTCTCTTTACTGGCGTTGCAGGGTTAAATGGTATCAATTGGGGAGGATGAGCTGATATTCTATTGACTATTAGTAGTGAAAATCATTTTGTGTTTTATCAGGATTGGAGGTTAATTGGCTAAGAGTTCAATTGCGTGGATTATTCACAATATAATAAATTGGAATAGTCAGCAAATAGTTCGGGTGTAGAGTAGGGGTCTGGCCTTTAAATTATATGTCTATCACTGGGTGGAGAGCCTTGAGTGGTGGGAAGCTTACAATAGTGCAGTATATTTTGGACAGCTTATCAACTTATTATTCGTCTCTTTCTAAAATCATGGAGGGGTAGGATTGATTATTAATTTCTCCTTTTTCCTAATATTTAAGTTATCGGCTTCCTTTCTACTTGCCGGTTATTTAAAGGGGCAAGAGAACCAATTCTTAAAGGAGAAACAGCAATAGCGCTACAACCTCAAATTGCTCAACTAAATCATTGGCAACACTAAAGCATATTGTGTCTTACCATGTTATCAAAAAGCTGCAACCAACTTAAAGATAAGCAACCAGATAAAACTACATACACTAGCTACTTGTCAAGCAAAGGTTTCTCTACTTCGTTGGTAACACAAACCTATGTATAGATTCATCGCAGAAACTAGACAAGTTACAATAATAAATCATTAGAACTGACATAAACAATTATGTGAAATCTTGGAGGACAAAAATACCAAAATTATTATTATATCTACGCAAGCGATGAAGCACAAATGCAGCTCCCCGATCTTTCTTTTTCCCTTGATGAGAAACAATACTTTCATTGAAAAACAATATTTGAAATTACACAGAAAGGGGACAAAAGCAGCTCCCAAAACAGAATGAAGGACCAAAAGAAAAGAAATATATTTAAATTTACCAGTAAGTGAAGCCCAAAAAATAAAACCCTGCAACCTAAACATTCAAATAAGACCTATGCTAAATCCCCCTCATCCCTATTCCATCAAAGCCAACTGCTCAGTCTCATGCTAGGTCCAAAGTCAGAATTAAATCTGTATCAACTACCTAAGCCCAAACAATGAAAAGTATACACCATTTGCGGAAAGGAAAAAGGCATTCAGAAGTTGCTATCAATATTACTCAGTCGTATGACAACCTGAAGGATAGCGACCAAGAGAATCATATAGGTAATTTTTTTCAGCTTTCCTCTACTACTCTACAAAGCCAACCGACAGACAAAAGTAACCTTACTCAAGCTCAGAAGTACAAACACAGGTTACTTCAGCTCAACTGGGCAAAAGTTATCACAGTTTAGTCAAGGGTTAAACAGGCAAGACTTAATCTTTAGTTTATATTGTTAGCTTAACTAAGCTGCGGACTCCAACTTTAAACAAAAAGAAAGAAAATTCAGAACCCAATTCCCATTAGTTTTGCATTAGTTTCCCATTAGTTTCCTATAATCACAAAACCCAAACAATCAAAGCATCTAATTTTCTTACCTAACCATTCCAAAGCTTTTTCAGCTCGCAAACAGAGCAAAAAGCAAACAAATTTCAATAAATTCACAAATTTTGCAAGAACATTCAGACAGAAAACGACATTGTCGGACAAACCTCAGCTCGACTAGCCTCGATCCTCTTGATTCCCTCATTATCCTCGCCGAAATCGACATCGACGTCGTCGTCGCTGCCGTAGTAGTCCATGCCCATCTCGTCGCTGTAAAAGCCCTCGTCGTCATCCATGGACTCGACGTCGTTGGCGTCGTGCATATCGTCCTCGGAGTCCATCGTCCCAAACAAACCCTAAGGGCGGGAGGAGTATTTGGCTGGCGAGAAAGCGAGGAGAGTCGGTGCAAAACTGAACAGGAAATCGGAGAATCACAGGGTAATTTGCCGGTTTTAAGTTACTAATTGATCAAATAAAAAAGATATTTTTTTCTCCACCCTCTTCTCTCTCTGTATCTATCTGTCTGCCTGCCCTGCTTTGGATATTTATATAAAAATATTTTTAAAGCAAAACTACAGAAGAAGAAGGAGAGCGAGACGGAGTTGAAGAAGGAAAGCGTTGAGTGCGTGAGTCTGACGTCAGAACAGAGTTGTGTTGACAACAGGAGAGAGAGTTCTCTTCTTTCTATTTTTCTATACATCAACCCTCATTTGCTGACTACTCCCTATTCTACATGAAAATTCTATACCGACCCTTTATTTGCCGACTACACCCCATCAAGGCAGGCACCATCCAATTCAATTCGGTTTCCTCTCGAATTGGAACAGAAACTGTAACTTACGTACAGTCTAATTCGGTTCAATTTTTATAGAAAGTGTCTAAAAGAATCATACTAAACTGGACCTGTGCGATTCCAGTTCAGTTTGGCCGATTTTTCGGTTTGGAAAGAAAAATATTAAGATGTGAAAAAGAATAAAATATGATGTATAGAAAAATAGAAAGAAGAGAAAAACATGTACAATTGATAAAATAAGAGAGAAAGAGGTGAAGAGATAAATATGAAGTGAAATAAAAAGAAATAGGTGGAAAAGAGAAAAAGACGAAAGTGCAATAAGAACGGATATTGTTCACTTAAAAGAAAAAGAAATTGGGTTGTAGTTATTTAGATGGGTATAAATTGGAACTAAGCCATTTGGGTTGGGTTAAAATATCTATATATTACTTGGAGTTAATAGTGTTTTTTAATATTAATTAGGCTTACTAATCATTTTGGATATAAATAAATAAGTAAACTTAACATAACCGGTTTGGTTTGGTTTACATCAATTTTTCCAAGACAAGAGTCAAGACAAGAACATATCCAAAGCAGTCCAATTTGATTTTTGAGCATTGATTGACTTTTTTTGTCAACATAAAAACCCACCTCCAATCATGCTCCCTATCTAGCTCATAAAATAGAGAGATCTCTAGGAGCTCCTAAATCCGATGAGAGATGAAAAGCTCCTAGTGACTCCCTATAATTAAATGCTACTATATTTTATTATTATTTTAAACATTTATTTAATGATGTCTTTAATTTTATCATTTTTGTTCCTGGATTTTATTTAATGGTAATCAATATTCAACGGATGACATGGCCAATCAATCTATAAACAAAGATTTGCAAACTCAGTCAGCCAACAAAACAGAAAAACAACAATCTCGCAACTTCACAACGAAAGAAGACAATCTTCTTATATCAGCTTGGCTCAACGTCAGCTTGGATGCGGTACAAGGAAATTAGCAAAAAAGTGGAACATATTGGAAGATAATTTGGGAATACTTCCATGAATACAAAAGCTTTGTGGGTGACTGGACTACCAATTCTTTAATGCACCGTTGGTCAACAATTCAACTTGTTGTGAATAAGTTTTGTGGATGGCATGCTCGAATTGAACAAAGACAACAGAGTGGTCTCGATGAACAAGATAAGGTAACATTATATGTGAATTATATATACATATATATATTGTTTCATTTTATAATTCAGTTACTTTTTTATATATATAATTTTGCAGATCTTACAAGCTAAGAAAATGTATGAGAAAATAGTTGATCAATCATTCACATTTCTGCATTGTTGACATGAATTGAAGCACCATCCTAAATGGTTGGTAGATTATTCCAAGAGAAAGTTAGAAAGTGCTACAACAACTTCTCCCTCCACTCCAATATTAGTAGAAGAAGACAATTTGACTTCAACCTTTTTCGATTTGGAGAGGCCTTTAGGTAAAAAAGGCAGAAAAGGAACGATTGAAAAGGAAAAAGGGAAAATACCAAATTTATGACAATATGACTACGCCTACTTTATTGCTCTTAGAAAAATACATAAAAGAGAAAAAAGAAATGGAGAGCAAGAGAACGGAATTTCAAGAACGGATTATTATTCAAGAGCAAGAAAAGATTATCATTGAGCAAGCTAAAATTCGAAAAAGAGATGAGCAAGAGGAAGAAAGGATAATATTACAAGATACAACTGGGATGTCTCAAATGCTAGAAAATTATTATAAGGGATGTGAAATGGAAATCCTTGCAAAACGAATGGGGAGTTAAATTTAAAGAAAAATTAGGTATTAGACATAAAAATCTTTACAAATTAGGATTTGAAACATATAGTATTTCTGTTTGGGTTTTGATATATAGGAATCAACTTTTGTTTTAGATTTGGCCACAAAGGAGGCCCAGATTCATTGGGCCTATCTAAATTATAAAGAATTAAAATACAATGTTACCCTTTTTTGTTTAAAAGCCCAAAATTAGATCTCTCTCTCTTTTTCTCTTTCTCTCTCTCTCTCTCTCTCTGTCTATGATGTCGAGCTGAAAGCTCTCTGTCTTTTCTTCCTCGCTCTGAAAGCAACATAGTTAATCTTAGCGTCGTCCAAAGAGCTCTTTCTCTTCTTCCTCACGACGAGTCTGCTCCAAAGTAAAGCCCCCATCATCGAAAACCAGACTAAACCAGGGACCAAAACAAACTCGCCAATCAAAGTGCCACCCGGTTCTTCGCTAAAAGCCTGAGCTTAGCAGTAGAAAGAAGCCCTGATAGGACTCATCCAGGCTTGGCTTCGGAGGTAGACTCGTTTTTCTGTGACGACAAAGTACTGTGAATCCATACAGTGCGTCATTGGTGGTGGCTAGTTCCGGCGAAAGAGGGTTGATTCCGAAGATTAGAGGAGGGCAATTCTCTCTATCGGGTTCTTCCTTCTTTGTCATAGCTCTCTCTCATTAAGATTGTTCTTGGGGAGGCACTGAATTGTATTGATTTTGAGGTATTTATGTTTATGCAATTTCTTCTTCGTAATTATGGACAGTTGGAAAATGGTATTTATTGATTTTGAATAATTTTGTAGTTTGATGACAGTTGGAAAATGACTTTTTACTTGCTCTAGATTCTGCGATGCTGTTGTGATATGATCTGCATAGTTGTTGTTAATTCTTTTTATTTGCTTGTGTTTGTGTAAATTTGAGAATAGTCACATTGTTTGTACCGAATTTTACTTCATTAAATTGGTAATCATTGCTAATAGTGATGTATAGGCGTAAAGATCTGACTTTTTGGTTCAATTTTGATTGGTGGTTGATGTGCAAAGTGTTGGGGTTTGATTTGGACTAGGAAGGGAGTTTGCATTGTGTGAGCTCGCACTATAGCATTTGCACTTTTTTGAACAGTGTTTGCTTGTTTGTGAAGAGAGAGTGGGTGTGTGTGTGTGTGTTGATGGACAACTAGGGATTGGATGTTGAGGAGTTGAGGTTGTGATGCTACTTAGGCAAAACTGCTAGGTTTTGTCGTAATTGGAAGGAGGATGACTTCATAGAGGAGGGATTCGCATTTGAAAATGCAGATATGTTAGCCTTAAAATACTGTGAATTTGGATAGATCTGTTGTCTTAATACAATTTTTGTTCTTATTTGCTTTGGTTTTGCTTGGAATTGAATGACATCTTTTGCTCTCTGTTTGTAGATGGCTTCACATATAATGCAAGAGATTTATCTTTCATCTCAAGTGTTAATCGTGTGACAGCGAAAGAAAAGCTTTGTAGGACCCATGTTTCTATCTTCCATATTTACTCGTGATAAACGGCTCTATTTTTCTATTTATTGTCTCTCTTTCTCAATCACATTCGGAATCGAGTTCTTTGACATTTGTATTGGTGGTGAGGTATTTTTAGTTGATCTCTCCAGTATTGGTTTCATTTTTATCTATTTTTTTCCCATGTCTTTTCATTTTTGCATTTTGTTATTGAACCGCGCAACTTCAACAGATTACACTTGACCAAGATAAACACATGAATATAATTACATCCATATACTCTGTTTAACTTCAAAAACATGTTAATCAAATTGTGAATTATTACACTCTTATTGTGGATTTGATGTAATGGTGTCTTCTCCTAAGTTGTACTTTGTCTCATAGACTCTAGCCAAGCAAGCTGCATGGAAGTCAAAGAAAACAACATTAATTTCATTACCATTATCCCAACTCTTGTGATTGGTCCATTTTTCATGCCTTTCATGCCACCACGCCTCATCACCAGACTTTCCCCACTCACTGGTACCCAAAAAAAAAATTACAATTTTTTAATTACTTCATGAATTATTCTCCATAGATTAACCAAATATTGCTTAATTATTACAAGAAATGCATCTCATTATTCGATTATAAAGCAGGGGCAGTTCGTTCACTTGGACGATGTTCACTCGTGAATTCTTCATCTTTTGTGGATATTTGATTTTAGAAATATGCTTTATATTTGTAAAGCGTTCAGTTTGTTTTAGTTTATGGGTTTTGTATTTTTCAAACTGCATTTTTTTTGTTGCATCAATGTAAGTAGAACTACTTAGATTGTTAGTTCTTCAAATCATCCTTTGTTATTTATGATTCTTGGAAGCACATCACTCTGAAAATAAACAAGGATTCATAATTATAAGAGTGTCGCTTTCACTTCGAGAAGATGCAAATGAAGCTACTTATATGATCTTTAGTTTAGGTGAACAAGAACATGCAATTTTAACCTGAAGCAGCATTCTTATACTCAATCGAGTTCTGGAAGACGAAGGGCGATCTTCAATGACACAAAATCTTCATCTTCTTTTTTCGGAAATTGCATTGTAGACAATAGGAACTGCATTGCAGAAAACGAAAATTGCAATGCAAAAACGGAAACTGAAATGCAAAAAACGACGGAAATTGCAATGCATAAACGGAAACTGAAATGCAAAAAACGGAAATTGCAATGCGGACAATAAGAACTGCATTGCAGAAAATAGAAATTGCATTGTTCATCATTGATATCTACATTATTTTTGTTTTAAAATCCCACTTAAATATGAGAAATTTTGGTTTTTCTAGAAACTGCAATGCATTTTTCGATCTTCTTTTTCTATTATAGTATTCATGTTTGGATGTGAAGCTCAGTTTTTCTGTTGTGGAGGTATGTATATTCTTGATCAAATTGTTATTTGAATTTTCTAGTTTTTTGTTTTTGTTTTTATAAGTTTGTCGACACCATGTTGACCTCACCTTCCCCCTTAAGCAAATCCCACCAATTAAGGAATAACCCTTGCTTGTCATACATCACATCCCACCAAACAAGGAGTAGCTAGCCATGCCTCCTCCTATGCCTTCTTAAGCAAATC